TTTATCAAACTTCATCTTATTCTTTGCCTCGTACGTTATGAAACCAATGGTTTTCTAATGTACATCATCACTCTTAGAAAAAGAGAAGGTAACGCCGGTCGGAAGAGGGGCTTAGGGGTGACACACAACAAAGGAAGGGGGAAAGTGGTCGTCGGCCGGAATCTGTCGTTGGCGTACAGCACCCTGCTAGGAATTTTCTAAAAGCAGGGAGGAAAGAAACCGGGGGGAACAAAGAGAAAAAAACGGAAAGAGAAAAGGAGGAGAGATCCCTCGTTTATGATGTTATTTTGGCGATTTGATCCTGCGCGGTTATTTCGTATGAGGTTGTTTAGTTAGTGTGTGAGTTTGGTTAGGAGCCCGAGGCTTTGGGGGGGTGTTTTGGAGGTGTCCCGTTGGTGTTTTGCACCTTAGGAGTGTGTGCAGATTTTTTCTGCAATTTTGCACGCAAATCCTTTCTTCGGGATCGCGGACTCATCTCGCGTTTCGCATATCCTTTGGGGCTCTTCTCCGCATTCGCGGAACAGCCCCCGCGTACGCTGCGTTTCAGCCCTTCCTCAAACGCGATCGCATCTTCCCTTTGTGCGTTCGCCGTAAGCCAACCCAGTACCCCCCCCCCCCCCACCAACTCACCCCACCAGTTTTGTCCTTCGCGTTCAACAATCACCTTAATCGCGAACGCGATCCAAAGTTTCCCTTTATCGCGACACTCGACCCTGTGTCGCGAAACGCATAGAGTAACAGTGTTCAGTGATTTTTTTTTTAAAATCCAGAAACAGTAACATTACGGGTTTATATTCCCAATTTTCTCTCGAGCTCTTTTCTCCAAAGCCCCTAGGCAACTTTTAGAGCGATTCTTCACCAAAGCTTTTGGGTAAGTAAATCTTCTAACTAAGTTTCTTCCATTTTCTAAACCTCATTTATTAAAATATTCTAACTAAAATCATGTAATTTATGGTGTAATTGGGGAGAATTTGGGGTAGAACTAAAAGGCTTTCAAATTTTCTTTTATTTTAGACCGTCGTTTTTGGGGTCCAACCATTTAAAAGCAAACTTGTATATTCGGCTCGTGGAGGAATGGGTAAAATGGTTGGTTCGAACCTCGTATGTTTGACCAGCGGGCCGGGGTCTGATTTTGGGAATTTTGGGCAATAGCTTCGAAAAATTCAATATTTAGGCATTGGTTTTAAGTTTGTTTAGCTATTAACTTCAATATTTTTATTAAGGGTCATTATCTTCATAGATTTGACTGTGTTGGAGCCAAATTCGAGGGGTAAAGCATACTATGAAGGCTTTAAGTGAGTTTGGAGCATTGAAGGTTAAGTGTTTTTGATCTATGTTTTGGGCTGAAGGGAATCAGGATTAGAGTATTATTGGTGAATTGCTAAATGTTGAGCTATACATGTATAGGTATGGTGACGAGTATCTATAACACCGGTTCTAGCCTGACCGTGGGTTCTTATTTGCGCTTTAAATTGGAATTCGCTGTAGTGATCTTCCTTGTTAATTGATGGTTTCCTATATGATTATGCAGAGAATGAGAAAAGGAAATATTATGTGTGATAGGCTTTGGGAGCGTTGGCTCGATTTTCGACTTGATTAAAAACGTAAGAATGAACGTAAAAGAAAGAGATGTGATTATTCCCTTGCCGGGAAGGCTGTAGAGGGTATTTGTTGTTGCTCCTTGCCGGGATTTCTAACTGCCTGTAAGTCGTGTTGCTTCCTTGCCGGGAAACCACTTATATCATTATAAAAATGGGCATGTCGTGGCACGCCGACCACTTATATAGTTGATAAATGGCGAATCGTCGTGGCACGCCGACCCAACTTACGTATAGTTATGAACTGAGATCGTGTGGCATGCCGACCACTATGTATTATGAAATGGGATCGTGTGGGCAGCCGCCGACCACTTATATTTGCTGAAATGGGATCGTGTGGACGCCGACCACCTAGTATATATTGAATGAACATGGGCATCCGTGTGCACGCCGACCACTTATATAAGAGTTATGAGATGCTGATGTAGTTCGTGTTTACTTCTGACAAGTTGTTTTGCAATCTGTATTTCCGTTAAGCATAGTCCCTCCCCACCTTAATTTTGGTATTTCTGCTGTTATTCGTGCACTTGCTTATATACATACTTATATCTATCAAAAGTTATTTTTGGTAGGTCTGTTCTAAGCCTCGTCACTACTTCGCCGGGGTTAGGGCCAGACGCTTACCAAGCACTGGTCGGTTGTGCTGATGCACACTCTTGTGCATTCTTTTTGCCACAATCAGGAGCGAGCTTTTGGGCCTCAGCAGTAGGTATTTGATCGGGAGCTGACTTCAGTCCAGGGACTTTTCGAGGTAGCTAGCTGACGTCCGAAGGCCGGAGTCCCGTTTATGTTATTAGTTTTGTTTTCCTTGTACCCAGAGACACACCATGTGATGTATTCTATCAAACTTGTTTTAAGCACTCGCTTTAGTAGTTCGTGTGTTCATGACAACGGATCTGGGTAGAGTTGTTATTTAAACTTCCGCTATTTGGTTTCACTTATCTATGTTTTTAAGACTTTTCGCTTCTTATTTAAATGACTAGTTTTATTTATATCGTTGTGATGTTATTCAGAAAATATGTTAATACTTAGCTGCCTAGCTACGACATTCGGCGCCTCAGCGACTCCGAGGTTGGGAAATCCGGGTCGTGACAAGTTGGTATCCAGAGCTCTAGGTTACATAGGTCTCGCTACCTTTAGAGCACGGACAAACTAGTGTAGAGGTCTGAGAATCGGTACGGAGACGTCTGTATCTTTCCCAGAGAGATACGGAGTTAGAAACTTTCACTTCTGTTGTTCTTTCTTGTTCGTGCGATTCTGTTTCTCAAATATTGATGCTGTTGTTTCTACTTTCTGTTTTTTCTTTTCGCGGATGGCGGAACAGACGTGCTTCCTCTTCTACCTGGCGCAGCCAGCCCAAGCCCCAGCACCAGCTCTACTGAGGGGCAGAGGGCGAGGCCGAGCCGTGCCCAGAAGGCCGAGGCCGGGGCAGAGCTCAGCCCCGAGCAGCAGTCGCAGAGGTGGAGCCTCATGTTGATCTATGACGAGGAGGTTCAGCCCCATAGCAGCTTCGGTGGGCCCATTCTCAAGCGTCCCAGAGGGGTTCATGAGCCACGCCCAGTTTCTTCAGGACGCTCTGGTCGGTCGGGTAGGTCGTGTGTTGTGGAGAGGTCGCTAGAGCAGGTTTGCTTCCAGTAGCACCAGCCACTTCTCAGGCTGGAGGAGGGGTTCAGACCTCCTGCTACACGTACTCCGGAGCTCAAGTAGGCTCCCCAGGCACAGTTCAGTGGTTAGCCAGCTGTGGGCAGTTTCGCGGGTATTTGTGACTCAGACCGACGATGGAGCGGGCTATTGGTTCGCTAGAATGTTTGCTTTGTTGGAGACTGGATAGGTTCACCAAGCTTCTTCACACACAATTCAGCGGTGTAGGTCTTCAAGACCCCCAGGATTTCTTGTATAGCTGTCCAATGAAGGTTGTCTTCGGACTATGGGTTGTGGAGACCAAGTGGGGTCGAGCTTCGCCACTATTTTCGGTCTAGCAGGATCCGCCAAGACTTGGTGGGGACTATTTGTTTATGCCAACTCAGCAGGGTCTCCATATGTGACTTGGGACCAGTTTCAGAGTTGTTTTTTTGGAGAAGTTTTCTCCCAGTGTACTCACGAGATGCTTCTCGCAGGCAGTTTGACGCTCCAGCAGACAAAAACTTCAGCAGAAGATGCTGAAGTTATTTAGTTCATTTGTAAAAACTTCAGCACTAAATAAGCTGAAGTTTTTTTGTCCTGGATTCATTAGTTTTGTCATAAAGCTTGTTCAAAAACTTCAGCAGAAGATGCTGAAGTTATTTAGTTCATTTGTAAAAACTTCAGCACTAAATAAGCTGAAGTTTTTTTGTCCTGGATTCATTTTGTCATAAAGCTTGGTCAAAAACTTCAGCAGAAGATGCTGAAGTTATTTAGTTCATTTGTAAAAACTTCAGCACTAAATAAGCTGAAGTTTTTTTGTCCTGGATTCATTAGTTTTGTTATAATCAAGACTACTATAAAATAATCAGATTGCCAACGGTATCTAAATCAAAAAATTTTGGAAACAAATTAACGTGAAAAGAACAGAATTATCATGAAAAGAATCATCAATTGTGACCTTAAACTTCCCGTACGTGAAAATATTCACAAATTATTGTCTACTAACTTACGTAATTATTTATAATTTATTTTTAAATAATCTGATAAACATACTTATGGCAATCATCCTATGAACTGAAGTTTCATAGCAGCACCAACAGCAGCAGAAGAAACAAGAAGAAGAAGAAGAAGAAAACGAAGGAGGAGAAAGGGGGGTGAAATTGTTTTAAAAGTGGGTACAAGTTAAAACTTTTATAAAAAATGGGTATAGGTTAAATGGGGGCGATCAAATAGGGTGCCCCGTAAAATTTTTACCTTGTAAATCTTTATTTTTGAGTTTCACCCTAATCGTGGAGCGCTGCTTTGTGAAGCCAGCCCAGGAGGTGGTTGCTTGTCCCCCTATAGCACCCCCACTCATCTGCTCTCCTCAGTCTACTCTCCAAAGGAGAGACCTCTGTGGACTCCCTCTAAGGAGGACACACACCACACCACAAGCCATCTCTTTGTTGTTTTTGGCGAAAAATAACACCAAACTCATCCAACTCTTCATCACTTTGCGCATCTTTGTTTGAAGCGCACATTCATTTGTACTTGCTTCAACCATGAAGCAATGGCCCGTCGCTTTGCATCGCTTCATTGCTTTAAGCGACGAATTGATGGCTTTTAATGACACTAGAAATAAGGCTGGTAAAAGTTCTGAGGTTCGTACTGTTTCCTAATTTAATAACCTAGGACGAAGATGTAATTGTAATATGTTACAGCTGATTTCAGTATGCAGTGTACTGGAGGAAGAAAGAAAAGAAATGGAGAACTTTCTGTGCAGCATACAACAGAGTTGATGATTATGACCTCTACAATATCTACCCAAGAAATGCAATCTTTTAAGTTACAAAGACCTTGACAAAAGAGTCAATCACAATGGAAATAACCATTATGTTGGAAGTTGTACAGATACAACAATAACAACAAAAAAAAAAACCCCAGTATAGTCTCATAAATGGGGTCTGAAGAAGGTAGCATGTACACAGATCTTACCCCTACGTGGAAGGTAGAAATGCTGCTTCCGATAGATCCTCGCTCAAGGCCAGATGAAAATAAAGCAGATGGACCCTAGTATGCCAAATATAGTTTCAATAAAAAATGGAGTAATTTGTTGCAGTATGTCAAAGCATTCCTCCTCTTACACCATAGAGGAAGAATATAAGGCGATGAGGTTATGATAAATGAGCAATCATGAGACAGTTATAGACAGTAGCATAGCCGGGATTTTCATTAAGGGGTGTCAAAATTTAGAGAAGTAAATACGAATAATTCAACGGGATTCAATACATAGTATATATACATAAAAAAATAATTTTACCTATCTAAACGGTGTAATTTTCCGGCAAAGGATTGACACTCTATGTGGCTCCGCCACTGGTTATAGATCAAACTGCAGAATTACAAAGACCTTTCAATAGGCTAAGTTCAAAACACTGGAGATAGGCTAACTCAACTCGCTGGCATCCGTCCCAGACTAAACCATCACCTCACAGATCCCCATTTAACCATAATGGTCAACAGAAGACAATAATCCCTCTTCTTGTTGTTTCGAATTACGCAGAGTTTGAGGGGTTACTAGAATTATATTCAAGATAACCACCCCCACACCTCAGAAAGTAGACAAACAACTATATCTAAATAAATTCCAAATGCAAAATAAGACAAACTTCATTTTACAGTCATAGCAAACAAGCTTGAAGTTTCACAACCAGACACATTTGACTCAGTACATGTGCATTCCACACACAGTGACTACCGCAGAACACATATGTCAAACGTGGATAAAACAAAGAGAGAGATTATGAGTTTCTGGATGCTGAAAGTAAGGCAACAAGACTTCCAGTGGGTGGAGAAGGAAGAAAAGCCAAATTTCCTCACTTTGCATCATTGCATACAATCTAAAAGTCATTTTCCTGATGTACGAGCCTCAAATGTGATCAAGGTGTGTCACGCTACTAGTTTCCTATAGTGTAATGATGTATGCAAGTCCTTTGCTTGGTTAAGACATATTAACATGTTCGCTTCAGTTCATGTTCTACACTAATAAAATCACAAGTTCCTTGAGGAGGAACTTCCTTTGGAAAGGTAACAGTGAAGATCACAAGTTTTATCTGGTTAAGTGGGCCAAGGTTACACAGCCTAAGACTATGGGTGGTCTAGGCATGAAACTTAGTTGTTCATAATAAATGTATGCTGTTGAAATGGTTATGGAGATATAGCCAAGAAGGGCCAGCATTATGGAAGGAAGTAGTGACTGCAAAGCATGAATCACTCAATCACTGGCTAAGTTGCGCGGACTCTTCATTTTCGGAGCCGCACCCGTCTCGACACGGGACGGGAGCGGGAGCGGGATACATCCCGGATTCGGTCAACTAACTTCGGATACATTGACCTGAGTCCATCGACAAATTTGGGGGGAAATTGAGATTTTGATTTCTCAAAATTTGTCAAAATCTAAAATAAAACAGATTTAATACATGCAAAATGGCATACCTTCAATTTCAATATTGTAGTACTTTTGTTTCATATTTGCTGCTTTGTGTTCCAGAAAAACCAAAAACTCAAGGGCTCGTGTTCTAAGTTCGGACTTACAGCTCTATTTTTTATTATTTTGAATTTTTTTAGCCGTATCCCCGCACCCGTATCCATACCTAGATCCGCACCCCCCAATCTTAAAATTTAGATTTTGCCGAATACGACACTTGGAGCCATGCCCGTATCGGATGCCCGCACCCGTATCTATACCTGGATCCGCACCCCCGAATCTTAAAATTTAAATTTTGTCGAATCCGACACTCGGATCTGTGCCCGTATTGGATGCCCGCACCCGAGTCCGAGCAACTTAGATCATTGGGGTACCAGAACCTCAAGAGCCCCACATGGTGTTGGTCCTTGGAAGAACATCAGCAAATTACGGGATGAGTTCTCCAGAAACTGCAGCTTCAGATTTGGGAATGGACAGCACATCAGATTCTGGGAAGGATAAATGGCTTGGTGCCACATCACTGCAGGAGGAATATCCCAACCTATTCCTTATATCCACCAACCAGGATTCCCTCATCTCCCCCTACAGAGAAGGAAACTCTTGGAACCCCAATCTTCAGTAGAAACATGCAAGACTTGATGGCTAGATTGCGAAGCATCACCTCTAATGACCAAGCAATCCAAACCCGAAACCCGAAAAACCCGATAAAATCAAACCAATCCAAACCTATATAGTTGGATTTGATGCCATTTAATAACACTAAAAATAAGGCTGGTAAAGTTCTGAGGTTGGTACTGTTTTCCTCATCTAATAACCTAGGAAGAAGATGTAATTGTAATATTTTACAGCTGGCAATTCGTCAAAGATAACATTAACAACAATATCCATAGAGGAAGAATATAATGCGATGAGGTTATGATGAATGAGCAATCATGAGACAGTTATAGACAATAAAGGAGCCAGAATTTTCATAAAGGGGTGTCAAAATTTAAAGAAGTAAATACACGAATAAGTCAAGGGGATTCAATACATAGTATAGTATATATAAATAAAAGAATAATTTTTACCTATCTAAACAGTGTAATTTTCCGGCAAAGGAATGACACCCCTTGGAGCTATGTGGCTCCGCCACTGGTTATAGATCAAACTGCAGAATTAGAAAAACCTTTCAATAGGCTAAGTTCAAAACACGGGAGATAAGCATACTCAATTGGCTGGCATCCGTCGCAAACTAAACCATCACCCCACCGATCCCCATTTAAACATAATGGTCAACAAAAGACAATAATCCCTCTTCTTGTTGTTTCGAATAACGCACAGAGTTTAAGGGTTCACTAGAATAATGATTCATTCTCCGTTTATGACGGCTGAGAAAGGTAATTGTTCTTTCATCCTCAAGAAGAATTCGCCAAGGAAACTGTTCTTCCGCATAGATCATCATGGCATGAACTAATTTCTCATTTTGCCCAATGCTATTGTATTTTGGCCTATTTTATGCTGTTGAAAGATTAGTTTGCAACTTCCCTTTCTCGCGGGAAGTTCCACAGTTGTTCAAGGGACTAAGCTATGACTCTACACCCTTCTTATACATCATAATAAGTACTCAAAAGATATGATCTCCATGGTGTTTTTTCTTATTTTGTCCCCAATGCAAGCTTCCCAACAAACTAAACTACAATGTATATATTCAAGATAGCCACCTCCACACCTCAGAAAGTTGAAAAGTAACTATTTCTAAGTAAATTCCAAATGCAATCCAGGACAAAGTTCATATACAGTCATAGCAAACAAGCTTGGAGGTTTACAACCAGACACGTCGACTCAGCACATGTGCATTCCCCACAAAGTGACTGACGCAAAACACATTCGGTTAGAGTTAGATAAAACAAAGAAAGAGATTATGAGTTTTATGGGTATAACCTAAGAGCGTCAAATGTGATTAGGGTGTGTCACGCTAATAGTTTCCTATAGTGCAATGATGTATGCAGGTCCTTTGCCTGGTGCAGACATATTAACCTGTCCGCTTCAGTTCATATTCTACACTAATAGAATCACATGACTCGATAATAAAGGGACATTAGCAGGAGAGCAGGAAACTTTCAGGAGATGAAGTTCAAAATTCTAATGCAAGACTAAAGACTTCAAAGTACGAGCACCAAACAAGCAAAAGACCCATATCATATGGCACTCAAGTTAGACCGTGCAACTACCAATATATTTACAAAACTAGCTTTGACTCCAAAATAGCAAAATTGAGATTAAGTTATTATTATTATTATTATTATTTTTTTGGCATCTTATCTCCCTTTAATTGCAACGGATGCTATGTAAGAAGTCCTTATATTCACTCACAAGTTGACAAGCTGAGTGTTGTATTCCCCCCAACCCCCCCCCCCCCCCCAAAGTAACTGATGTGACATCTCTAAACTACCCAAAGCATAAAATAAATGTAGCTCTTAAATTTCAGGTCATATTTCTAGTAGAATACGATCCTAGACTTCTCGACAACAAAATCAACAGCAGCTTTGGACTGAAATAGCAAGTCTGTGAAGTATTTAATCCATCGACCTTTTAATTAACTGGAACGGCAGAAAAAAATAGGAGCTATTATCATATCACATCTAACTAACTTCAGGAGAGATTAGATTAACTTGATACAAAAGCAAGTAAAAGACCATATAAAGGTGCAATCATTTAATTGGATATTCAAATATTATACATGTTTCAGAAACATTGATCTGTTCTACATATGTTCACAATATCACATCAAAATCGGATATGAGATATGAGGGGTTGCTCCTGCTCTAGAATACAATTCGTGTGAGTATCAGTAATCATACAAATGAACAAGGGGAAAAGAATATGAACTACCATCAAAGAATTCTTTCTATTGAAATATCAGTTGCCAAAAGAAGATGTGGGGCAAAAAAGTATTCACCGATAATATTGAAGTATGAGCTCTAGCAATTACCATATTGCCCTTTCCCATTGCGGAAGGGTGTCGCAGAGTTACTTAGTCGACAGAAAACCATAATTTCTCCATCATAGCTTCTGGTTAGATTCTATAAGCAATCCATTTAACATGATATGTACAGCGGCTTCATAGACAGCCCCGTGATAATGCATTCCATCTTCCGTGCAATGAGCTCCACAGTTATTACTCAAGGAATGGATATCCAGCAAAAACAGCGGGCCACCGGATTGTCGAAGCAGCTTACTTCTATAAAGCTCATTGCTATAAGCTTGCCACATTACATCACTCATCTTCTCCCTCTTCTCATCTGTATTCAACATTGAATGTATCAACTTAGGCATCCCTAACCAAAACAAGTTGGGCGACCGAATAGGAACCACATTCGCTCCATCACCCTCATTAACAAACGGCGAAGAAACCGGTAACATCAACACTACTGAATCCTTCAAAGACTTTAAAGAAACACCATAATCAGATGCATTATTTACATGTAACATATCCCATAACCCTGCCCCCATCACAAATACATCGGGATAACTCCTTTTTTCTTTAAACCCGAGCATCAAATCAGTCAAATTACTCACGTAAGGCGCCCACATAAAGTCCAACTTCATCCCAATCTCATCAACAAAAATGTTATAATCACTATGCCTCTTAAACAGATCCCCTCTTATCACCTCCATCTCATTTCTCCCTAATATCAACTCCAATAGAGAAACCACCATTAATCTTGCCTGTGAATCCCCCGCTACAACGACCCACGATCCGTTTAACAAATCCGAAGCATCGGCCTTACTCAATTCTTGAAAATCACATTCATTTACAATTTCAGACTCAACCCAATTCCAAGAACCAATTTTTCTACCACTACCCTTATTTTCAACACTGTTAGTCACATTTTTATTCAATTCTTGAAAATCAAATGACACTTGATGAAGTAAAGACAAGCAAGAATCCTTTTTTACAGTAAATTCTAAAGGTAATACTGAACTTGATTTATTGGAGCTAAGGAAAGAAGTAACAGAAGGGAAGTAAGGTACCAAATGAACACCAACAGAAAGGGTAATGAAAAGGGCACAGCTGAAAAATAGCATCTTGTTACGACTTAAGTGCCAACCAGCCATACCCATAGGAACAAAGAGTACAACACCTGCTGCAAGTAGTCCCAATTGGACAGCACCAAACATGACAATTCCTTGATTTCTTGATTTCAAATGACACCCATTAAGGTGTTAAATCTGAAAAATTGGAACTTTGACTTAAAATTTCAAGAATGATAAGATTTTGGATCTTCTTGAAGAGAAGTAACGGGAAAAAAATCAATTAATTTTCTCTTCTTTATGTGTGTGTGGGTGGGGGGGGGGGGTAGGGGGGTTGGGATTGGGTGAGGAAAGTTAAAAGGGTAGTTGAGAGGGTGAAGATTATGAAGGAAGCAAATTATTGTAGAGGTGGTGATGGCTATGGCGTAACTGTGTGAGAGAGAAAAGGAGAATAATGTCGAAATTCGGATTCTGGTTGTGATTCGGGGAAGGATGGAGGTACCTTGTAATTTGGGCGAAATGGGCCTCAAAGATTTTCGAAGCTTTCGACCTTTTGGGCCTTACACCAACAATGTGTAGGAAATTACAGTAAAAATTGCACGGGGCGCCTTATTTGGTCACCCCCATTTAACCTATACCCATTTTCTTTAAAATTTTTAATTTGTACCCACTTCTTAAATAACTTCAGCCCCCTTCTCCTCCTTCGTTTTTTTCTTCTCAACAAAAGACAAAATGCAGAGCCTATTTTTCTTTTATTGATCTTGCGTCGAAAATCTTTTTTGGACCAATCCCAGAAACGATACTTCACCCTGGGAGTAGCAGTTAATAACTTCAGCTCTTATTCTTAACTCATACAATTTCTCCTTTCTTCTTCTTTTAATTTATTTTGCTAACATCATCTTTATTCCTTTATATTGAATCAGATTGACTAGATTCTTGTGTAGTTTCATCCTTGTACATGTCATCTCCTGTAGTTTATCTATCTCGTGATGATTGGGTTTGGCTACTATCACAAAGTAATTCAGCTGTTAGTCAGTTCATTAATTTTTCATTGTCATCATTAAAATAAAGCTTAAAGCTAACATAACAGTGAAGATGAGTATCATGTGTTATGTGCATTACAGAGAGGGAGTTAAAAGTAGCCAATTACAACACAAAAACTTTAGCTCTAGAGCTGAAGTTTCCCAGTTACAACACAATAACTTCAGCTCTAGAGCTGAAGTTTCCTAGTTACAACACAAAAACTTCAGCTCTAGAGCTGAACTTCAGGCCCGGCTACTAGAATGCTGAAGTTTTGCGTGATTGCCTTTGCTACTTCAGCCCCGTGTGCTGAAGTTATGTGAAAAAGCGGGTACGCTTGTAATTTTTTTTGCAAAGCGGGCACAAGTTAAAATGTGGCACAAAAAGCGGGTATAGATGCAAATGCCCCGAAATTACAGTAGAAATGGTAAAAATTGCACGGGCGCCCTATTTGGTCGCCCCCATTTAATCTATACCCATTTTTTTAAAAAGTTTTAACTTGTACTCACTTTTTAAACAACTTCAGTCCCCTTTCTCCTCCTCCTTCTCCTCCTTCGTTTTCTTCTTCTTCTTTCTTCTGCTGCTGTTGGTGCTGCTATAAAACTTCAGTTCATGGGATGATTGCCATAAGTATGTTTATCAGATTATTTAAAAATAAATTATAAATAATTACATAAGTTAGTAGACAATAATTTGTGAATATTTCCACGTAATTCTGCTGTTTTCACGTTTATTATTTCCAAAAGTATGATTTAGATATTGTTGGCAATCTGATTATTTATAGTAGTAATACACTATGAAAGAATAAGGTGATTATTTATCTAGTATGTTAGAAAGCTTTTTCAAAAACTTCAGCTTATATAGTGCTGAAGTTTTTACAAGTGAACTAAATAACTTCAGCATCTTCTGCTGAAATTTTTGAAAAAGCTTATCCAGGACAAAAAAACTTCAGCTTATATAGTGCTGAAGTTTTTACAAATGAACTAAATAACTTCAGCATCTTCTGCTGAAGTTTTTGAAAAAGTTTTATGACAAAACTAATGAATCCAGGACAAAAAAACTTCAGCTATTTTAGTGCTGAAGTTTTTACAAATGAACTAAATAACTTCAGCATCTTCTGCTGAAGTTTTTGAAAAAGTTCTATGACAAAATTAATGAATCCAGGAAAAAAAAACTTCAGCTATTTTAGTGCTGAAGTTTTTACAAATGAACTAACTAACTTCAGCATCTTATCCAGGACAAAAAAACTTCAGCGTATTGCCTTTGCTACTTCAGGCTCGTTTACTAGAATGCTGAAGTTTTGCGTGATTGCCTTTGCTACTTCAGCCCCATATGCTGAAGTTACGCGAAAAAGTGGGTACGCTTGCAATTTTTTTTGCAAAGCGGGCACAAGTTAAAACGTGACCCAAAAAGCGGGTATAGATGCAAATCCCCCGTAGAAATGACACCAGGTAGCCACTTTATAGGGCTATTATCTAGGAATTAGCCAGTGTGCTCTAAATTTTATTTTTTCAGTTTTCCAGCACAAAAATGTCCTGAATTGTCCTGAAGTTGAGATTTTTAGTTTAAAATTTCAGGACAAAATAAATACTGGTTAATCTCTAAATAGCATCCCTGAGAATAGCTATCTGTGCACTAGCCCCAAAATTATACCGGATGGACTTTTCTAGAACTACCATTTATATGTTGACCATATTAAGAATTTTTTAGTAAAATAGCCCCGAGCTAGAATTTTGAAGGCAGCATACTATAAAATTCTTGCAACATGCTTCGAATTCTAGCAGCATGCTTTAAAATTCTAGCAGCAGAACTATTTTTTCAGAACTGTAAATGATCCTATCTGTGCAAATTCCCAGCAATGTGTAATGTATTGATTCTGGAACATGGAGGCCAAGTATCCTGTGGAATCTTAAAGATACTCCTTTTCTTTTCCCACTTTAGTTTTGGGTAAAAAATTACTTTTAACTCGTGGCCAAAATTATTTATATTCGATATTCGCAAAAGTTTAGAAAATTTATATATATATATATATATAACGGCTATTAAGTGTTATTTCACCCTAGTTTTCTTTTACATTTGTTGTATACTTTTGTCTTCCAGGTAAGAAACTTTGTTAAAATGAACTTTGTAAAAATATACTTTAGCTTTTGGAATGGCAAAGAATAAGCCATGTTCACACCAGGTGACCACTTTTGTGGCGTCGTATAGGTTCCTTAAGTAACCAATGAAATGATTACATACAAAGACAGAGGCTAATGTTATCAATTACAACTGATTTCACAACTAAGAGAGAAACCAAAAGAACACGAATTATATGTGTAAAGTTGCCCTAGAACATTAAAATCTTAAAAATCATTATTTTTGCACTTAAGCTATCCTCATTGGTGAGTTCAATACTTCTATACATAAACATCAGATACTACATAATTAAATTTACAAGAAAAAAACTATAAATAAAGATAAACAAAGGGGAATTGATCGAAAGCATTTTGGGACAATGAATAATACGATTTAGGTGAATGGTTATCTAATTCGACCGTATGTATACGAGTAAAATCGGGGATAGAGCATATCCCGATTTCCGGTGGAGAAAACGGAAGAAGGGCATGGAGGCACGAGACTAAAATCGAGGCCAAAAATCCTTCGTACCGAGACCCCTGAAAGAAGAAAGATGTGTCGTCACCGGGCATGATAAAGCGACGCTCCCCGGACCCAGAACGAGTTTTAAAACCTCGGAAAACACGGTGAACGGTTATGCACGACGGATAAAGGGCCATGATATTCGTACCTGACCGAATATCATGGCGCCGATCTCGCTCGATGTCGGTTACGGATCAGTAATTAACGAGCAAGGAAGATTTTTACCTTTTTTTAGGCTTGTACAGGGATGAAACTCTCCTACTATATAAATGGGAGTTTTTGTTTCTTTTGAGAGACATTATAACACGCAAATCAAGGCAATACAAATTTATTTTCTACTTTCTAGCTATTGCAAAGGTTCTTACTTAACTGTTTGTTCCTCATCCGATTTGTATTCGAACCAAGGGCCCGATCGAGGGCAAAACTACTGTTCAACCTAGGTTCGGGTTAGGTCGTAACATTACAACTGGTTTGATCATTCATTTTGTTTTTAACTCGTTTATCTAATATTCCTGACTAGCTGTGTTAAATCAATCCACATATCCTTAGAACTGCGTACAAATTTAATTGTTATCCGATTTAAGGGTAAACAGCTTGGCGCCCACTGTGGGGCTAAGGATAATAGTGGTGATTTAATACAAATCTCCATAACACACTCTATTTTACGTTTGTTCTATAAAGTCTTAATTTCAGATCAGCTCAAAAATGTCAAATTCTCGGTCTCCCCACTTGATTGAGTCTGGCCATCATGGCGAAAACAAAATCTGGTGCCTAGCAATGAGGTGCCTCCTGCTGATTCCAACGAAGTCCCAGTTGCCGATCCGGTCGACGCTACCTCACAGGTGGCCAATGAGGTCGATCTGCCAACTGATCCCGAAAACAGTTGTATGTGGTAAAATCGGAGGGTCCGATTTTTGGCCATTATAACGCCTCGTAAGCAAAGCTCACTAAAGGCTCGGGACTACGGTCGAGATTCACCCCGAAGGGCCATCGATGCTCAACCTCGAGACGGTGCAAGTCGACAGCTTTGATAAAAAAGTGGGAAGTTCCCTAGGCGCACGACTGAGGCTGACAGAGCCTAGAGGTCTAGCCCTGACCCGTATCAGGGCATTAGGTGGCTATACCTGCCCCATATCTTTGTAATTAATGAATTCTGTACTATGTTAGGATTCCTCTTCATATATAAAGGGGATCCTTGTTATTTTGTAAACATCTGTTGCTCCATACTAAAGTATAAAAGAACATTCTCTCTGCTTTCTAACACATTCTCTTGAATTCATTACTTCATTTATTGCTTGTATTCATTGTGTCTTATTTATTATTCATCATTAATTGCTTATTATTGGCCATAAAGAGCCGTCATTAATCTTATTACAACTGTTAGTCGCCCATCGACTACCCTCGAAAGCTCCCAGCCGAGCATCCGACTCGACCTCAAAGCCCCGGATAAACAATCTCGAGGCCTCGATTGACAGTGATTCGGTTTGGTTAATATCTCGTTTTTAAGCTCTTATCTCGCTTCTAAGTCCTTCACATAGCATCAACTGCTTAACAACTAGCATAAAAATAGATCACGTATTTTTAGAACCTCACAAAATCAAATTTAATTGTTATTACCATTTTCACGGTAAACAACAGTGTTCGCGTCGGACCTC